CTACCCACCCACAGGGGGGGCGGGGAACATAGCTCCTGTATATCCATACCCATTCCTATTACTAACTACTACCCACTACCACTAACTACATCTACAACTACAACAACAACAACAACAACTACTACTACTACTGCTACTACAAACCCCCCCAACCCACCCACAGGGGGGGGCGGGGAACATAGTTCCTGTATACCCATACCCATTGGGGGGGAGGGGGGGGGGACTTGGGAGGTTGCATCATATATATATATATACATATTGGGGAGTGCCTTGGCCTCTTTGTCTGTGGAGGCCAGAAACTATTTCTTAAATAAACCCAATTTACAGAAACTATTTCCTAAATCAACCCTAAAGTGGGAAACTATTCGAAACTATTTCTTAAAGAAACCCAGTTTACAGAAACTATTTCTTAAATCAACCCAATTTACAGAAACTATTTCTTAAATCAACCCAATTTGCAGAAACTATTTCCTAAATAAATCAAAGTTTTGGAAACTTTTGAAACATATCCCAAAAAATGCATTAATAAAAACACTAAAAAAGTAATTCAAGTTACGCCTTCTAGGGATTGGTTTGAAACGGTTTGAAACGGTTTCGGACTATTACCTAGCAAGTAGCGGGAAGCGGTTTGAAACGGTTTCGGACTATTTGCTAATTAGCCATTCTCAGAAACTATTTGAAACTATTTGAAACTATTTGCAGTTTTTGCCAGGGTGAATTAGCAGATAGTAGGAAACGGTTTCGGACGGTTTCGGACTATTACCTAGCAAGTAGCGGGAAACGGTTTGAAACAGTTTCTGTGATACCCTTACTGTGCCTTAAATCATCAACAAGACAATATACCAATAAAGATAAATAAAACCTAAGTTGACAAATATAGACACATATAGACACATTATGACATATTGAAACTCCTTACAGACTGAAAAGTAAGAAAGAAACAGTGACTGATTCTGAGATGAGGAGTCAAAGAACATAGAACGAAACAGAATGAACATAGATCGAAACAGAATGAAGGGTGCCTGCGTGGCAGCCTCTCTCTCTCGGTGAGAACATGGCTCACTTGTCTGGGGCAATCTCTGGACTTTAAGTGATTGACTGCTATCCTTGTCCAATGGTTGGGATTGGTAAAAGCAATCCTGGTTTTGTAAATGGTTTCTGGGTTTGGGGCCCAGATTAAGAAATAGTTTCTAGGATTTAAGAAATATTTAAGAAATAGTTTCCAGGATTTAAGAAATAGTTTCCAGGATTTAAGAAATAGTTTCTGGGATTTAAGAAATAATCTCTGGGAGTTAAGAAATAGTTTCTGGGATTTAAGAAATAGTTTCCAGGATTTAAGAAATAGTTTCTGGGATTTAAGAAATAGTTTCCTTTCATATTTACCTCTTAGGAAGGTTAAGCTGGTAGGCTCCCGACGAAACCGGACCCCCCGGGCTCCCGCGACAGACCTTGACAAATAGAGACACCAGTCCGGACTTTTGCGGGAAACCCCTGACTTGGGTATCCTCTGAGGTGTCTAAAATGCCATGTGGCAAAGGCCTGCTAACACCATCCCCCAACTCACCCGCAAAGGCTATCAGCCACATGGTTTTGTTTGGGGAGCATTTTTTTTGATCCCACAACTTGTGGGCATCGCGTGTGGAATTATTCGCGGCGTTGTATGGTGCATTTGGCAAAAACTGCGCTGGGACAGGGTATGTGTTTATGTTGCTGTTTGACACACCCTTTCCTGGATTGAAACAGCATTGCAACTGGTATGGCGCGATAGTACTCCCAATTGGATTCTAGATGGTTTCAAGTTTCAAGCGTCAACAGTTTCAGTGTGGTGAGCCATGGGTGAAGGAGGCTCTAGTACTATTAAACTGGCATGTGCGGTAAAGACATTAGTTCTTTCGCACCACAAACTACCATTGGCAAATGCGTGTTCCAAGATTGACCAGGTTTGCCCTGACAACATGGTCAATATCAACTTTTACTTGCAAATATTACCCCTTTGATTCAAGTAATGGTTTCTGGGAAATCAACATGATTTAGCAAATGGTTTCTACATGCTCTACTTTACCTGAAAAAAGTTTCTACATATCCTACTTATTTAGCAGATGGTTTCTAGTATTTAGCAAATGGTTTCTAGTTTTTTGCACATGGTTTCCAGAGTTTGGCAAATAGTTTCTAGTATTTAGCAAGTGGTTTCTAGTATTTAGCAAATGGTTTCCAGTATTTAGCAAAATAGTTCCCAGTATGCAGCAAATAGTTTCTAGTATTTAGCAAATAGTTTCTAGTATTTAGCAAATGGTCTCTAGAATTTAGCAAATGGTTTCTACCTGTGCAAGAAATAGTTTCTGGATTTTACAGAAATGGCAAATAAAGAAGCCAACGCACTCCACAATATACATATATGTATCATATGCTTCTACTGAACTTCTACTCTTCTCGCCCGCATGGTCTCGTTTGGAAAGTAACACCAATATGGATGCTGGGTTTTGGTTGCCAAGTGCTCACGTCCGGTTTCATAAAACTGAAACACATATTAAATATCAAACGCACGGAGTCGTGAATGATCCGCGCTGTGTCTCAACAAAAAGAACACGCGAGGACAGTATACCTATGTATAGCTTGTGTCTTGTACATGACACCGTCCTGAGGAAGCGTGCAGCTCTTGCCGTCAATGAACATTTTCCCGTCTGCAGTGTTTGTGGTAAAACGTCCCTTCTTTATCTTCACTGACAATGTCACAAGATCATCCTCAGCTCCGGCTTTCATGAGATTCATGTCAAAACATCAATAGATACACAACAATATACAATAATACTGTACCAGTTGATTCCAGGCGAGCAACAGGTGGAAGTATGCGCTTCAAAGTGTCTATTCGTACATGCTCAATCATTTTACGATCTGTGTTTCATCTGAGTTCAGAACAGGATCAAACCAGCCGAGCCACTATGTCAACACATGATGGAGCCTAACACCTCTGCATCACTTGCCAAGGAGCACTGGTTTGTTCAGCATGCAAAACAATGCCGATGGCAGCCGGAACGGCTCCAGGTTTCTTTGACTGGATGACCTCCTTTCCAACCTCAAGCTGAGAAATTTCAAGTCACCCACATTTATCCACATTTCACATCAGTTTAATCCATTTTGGAAACTACTGCGTGGCCCTTGTTCAACCAACTGCAAACTGTCTGGGCTGTGCAGGCCCTCTCGTCAGCAGAGCGTTTGCTGGGGGAAAGCGGTTCGAAGGTTCAGAGGTCAGTCAAAAGGAGAGGGTTTCTGGTACTCAACCTGCTGTCGTTGCAAAGATGCAGAGTATTCTTCGGCTAGCGGCTAGCGGCTAGTGGCAGGTAGGGTCTACCACACCCCAGGAACAAAGGGTACTATGCGGCGAGTCTTATTCATATTGCCAAAGTCTCACATCTGTGTATGGTGTGTTTGTGTGTACTAAAATTTACGACCATCTAAAGCGAAGCACATTGTGGACATAAAAATGAGCAGTGGATGGCAGTGGCATGCGTAAAAGTCTCAGAGCCAAATCGCAATTTTAGATCTGCAATGCTCTGTCCAGAGATGCCCAGTCTTTGCGACGCCTTTTCTCAGACAGGCACCAAACCTGGGGATGCCATACAAAAGTAACTCAGTCGAACTTTTGGGAAAGGTTATGTTTCAGACATTTTCTGAATAGGAAATGCACAACAATGGCAAACTAATTATAGACTATTTCTATCCGTTTTTGTTGCGGGTACGTTCAAGCATTGGATTTCTGAATCGCACTATCCTGAGCAATAATCTCGCTAAACATCCGTCACTTTCTATTTGTCAGTCTGTCGGTGAGTCAATCGGTCAGCTTCTGTTTCTGCATGTAGGATCATGTAGGCATATCATTGATTGTGATTGTCGTGTACGTGTGCACATTTAAATATGCACGTTGTGTAGGTCACTGGCGATATCTCTTTTGGCCCTGCTCTTACGATTCTTTGATGGGTGAACCTCACTGCATTTCTTGGGCTTCTGCACGAAGTCCACCTACTCTTGTCATTGCTTGCTCCCGCAGGATGGGAGTCAATGTGCTGCATGTAAATTTTGGCGCGCTTCAGTACATGTGGTGGGCAGGCATTGCTTCGGCAAATTGGTGCAACAAAAAGTGCCCAAGGGTCCGGAAGTCCCTATTGCAGTGTCTTTCAAGTCAAGAAATTTCGGGCAATGCAACCAAGGCTCAGGAATTGATGTCCCTGAATCCAATTTGATTGAGTTGAGCTCTACTCCCTTCTCTGGTGCCGTCTGAGGCAAAATATGCTCATAATTGAAATGATAAAGGTTCACCTGCAAACAGGCTGCTAGCCTCTGGGTGATCACGCAACGAACCCGCTTCTACTAATATAAATTCACTCAGGACGTTGGCATCACATGTTTTCCAACGGAAAATACTTTGAAAGTCGAGAAAACAATGTTGAAATTCTACGTGCTTATTTAGAACATCAACATATATATATATATTTATGAAAATAATTTAAAATCAAGACGCGACTGTTTTCTGCCAATGTTCTTCCTTCAGGAAAATGCGAAAAACACATGAAATAAAACTAAAACATAGTTTCTATTTCCATGGGTTTCTCCCCTATATGGTGAGATGTATGAACATGAACCTGATAATGACTGAAGATTGGTGTCCACATTGGTTTCCAAATGTTGCTGCGTTCCTCGCAGCCACCCACTTAGCCATAATTTCGTGTGATCACTCCCTCTTTTCATCGGCGCCAGGTCTCCTTTCTGTAGGTCAGGATTTTCTACCAATTATATATTATATGTTCTGAGTTTCAACTAAATTCTAAGTGTATGTTAGTCACTACAAGCGATCTTACTGTATATAGTTACTTGTACTTATTATGCAATATATAATTATAGTAAGGTTAGCATGTGCGTGCATACTTTGTCCTATGCTGCCTGCAATACATTGCAATACAGTCTTGGAGCACCAACTGCCGGCAAAAAACAAAAGAACATAAACATCATTTCCTACCCTTCAGGAATACCTTGCAAATCAACGTTTGTTGCATGATCTTGTTTTTATTCTGGTGGCACATGCCAGCTCTTCTAGATTCTAGCTTGCCTCTTTCCTTGGACCAAATCCCACCATGACACGTGCAACCCGCCTGATGTGGTGACAAGAGCTGACCATCATTGCTTGTCCAGCCTTCAGTTCTGGCCAGCTCTGTAAGCCCTGCAATGACCTCCAACTCCTGGAGGGTTACCTTGTGACTTGACATGAATCCAGAAACGAATCCGACCCGAGGCAATTTGGCCAGCAGGAGAAGTTTGGTCTAAGTATGGGCCCAAGTGTTGTCACACGCCAATATTATGCACACAAAGATGCGCAATATACGATTTATATCGATTTATAATATATATATACTTTAAAAAAATATATGGTTAACTGTTCCCTCTCTCTCTCTCCCTACGTGTCATACGCAAATGGATTGCATGAGTTATTTGATACAGGTCTTGGTGTACATCATATTTTATATGAAATCATTCGCATCACACCCACACGCGCACACACCTGTGTCAGCATAATGCGTAAGCAAACAAATCGTCACAGAATGGCAATGAGCAAACAAACCAACACATCAAACAAACCTTTCCAACCAATGGCACCTAGCAAACCAATGCCAGGTTAACGTCGAGGAACAGCCCGCTCATGGGGCAATAACTGCGTGCGGCGGTGTTGACCAGGATGTAGAGGCGAAGAGTTCGCAATCACAAAGGATTGTGCCATGCGATTGGAATCAACTGCGACCCCTGCCTGCAGCCAGCGGGCAAATATGAGTGGTGCAAAGCAACATACGGGTATCGTAAGGTATTCCTATTATAAAAACAGAGGAAGTTTAGTTAGACACTGCGTTACACTATGCTACACTACAATCCACTACACTACACTACATCCAATTACACACTACGCTACACTACACTAAACAAAAAACTACAACTACAAGTAAAACTACAACTACAACTACACTACAACTACAACTACAACTACAACTACAACTACAACTACAACTACACTACATCACACTACACTACATTACACCACGCTACAGCGCGCAACACTACAGCACACTACACTACACTACACTACGCTACGCTACAATACACTACCCTACACTACATTGCATTGCGCTACACTCATTACACCACACCGCAGCTACAACTGAAACTTCACCACGCTCACACTAATTACACTACACTACGACTACAACTCCACTACACTACAACTTCAACTACAGCTGCGCTACATCACACTACATCCAGCAGTTGGGGTGAGGTGACCACTGCAACCACTGCAACCACTCCAAAAGACACAGCTCCAACCACCTTTCGGTCCATCAGTGGATTCGCTCTGCCATCCATGCATCGCAACAACTCACCTCTCCTATAGTGTCCTATCTTTGAAACTTCCGCGACCGCCTTGTGCGGTACTACTGGTATCTTCTACCCACAAAGCAACACTCAGTCACACTCCCACGAATTCGGTTAATTTATCTATGGGTCAAGAATGGTCAAAAAAGCATGTTTGCTCCAACTCAACACTGTCTGAGATGAGTCCGCTGTCAAAGCAATCCTGACCACCACCGCCGCCCTCCTCCCATTCTGAATTGAGCTTAGTAGCAACTGACCGCTGGATGATGCTCAAGGATTCGGTTGTCTCAGCCTGGCAGCACTTGTACATAATCCATCATAATTCCACATGGATCCTGTGACTTGCGCATCGTCCTGATCGTCCTAAACCTGAAACATGTACCATCGTCCGGTCGCTTTTCCAATTCTTTGATCGTTGTGCAAGTGAAGTAGCCCCAATCCAACTGAAGAACACACGCGCACATTGTAGCTTCTAGGAACTTAATTAGTAATGAACACCAAGTGCACCCTCATGGTTTCTTCACGGCTTCATACGATTTCTACGTCCAGCCTCCTGCAGGCTCGGCAGTCTACGCCACATGTCGTCCAAAGTTCTGCGTATTCCTTGCAGGGCCCGATGCATCCATTCTTGCTCCATCTGCACTCGGACCAAATCCTGAATCAGTGTGCACTCTCACCATTACATGCAACATGTTGCAATTTCAACAAAAGCACTCACATGCACCCAAATGCGCGCTCAACAACCCCGTTTGTCAAAACAAAGAGACAAGTGGAATATTTTCAACCATGCTGGCTCCTTGGCGGCATTCAGCCATCAAGCAAGTCTTGCCACACAACTACGTTGAACACTTAGTGCATCTTCATCCCATCAAACCTGATCTTACATGTCCCTGCATTTTCCCCACACAATCGGCAGCAACGCCCATATTCTGCTACTTGAGATTAAGCTAGCTAGCTGGTTGATACATGGTTTTTCCCCACATCTTTGTGTGGGGTTCTTGTTTTTGGTTCTGCATCCCGTCCGCCTCCTCCTCCTCCCGCTCCCGTCGCACACAACAACTTGCTCACACACAACTTGTCCACACACAACTTGCACACACACACAACTTACTCACACACACAACTTGTTTACACACAACTTGTCCACACACAACTTGCACACACACACAACTTACTCACACACAACTTGTTTACACACAACTTGTCCACACACAACTTGCACACACACACAACTTGCTCACGCACAACTTGCACACACACAACTTACTCACACACAACTTGTTTACCCACACACACAACTTGTCCACACACAACTTGCACACTCACAACTTGCTCACAGACAACTTACTCACACACAACTTACGCACACGCAACCTGCTCACACACAACTTGCTCACACACAACTTACTCACACACAACTTGCACACACACACAACTTGCTCACACACAACTTACTCACACACAATTGTCAACACATGACATGGATCGTCACTTTGCGTGGCAGGCGTGGCACTTATGGCACTGGGTTGGCTCTGGCGGCGCGCTTGGTCAGCCATGGCGCCATGACGCCGCGGCGTTTTGCGTGGCAGGCGTGGCACTTTGTGACATCTGCCTTCACTTTGTGTGGCAGGCGTGGCACTTGATGACATCGATTGTTACTTTGCGTGGCAGGCGTGGCACTTATGGCACTGGGTTGGCTCTGGCGGCGCGCTTGGTCAGCCATGGCGCCGTGACGCCGCGGCGTTTTGCGTGGCAGGCGTGGCACTTCGTGACATCTGCCTTCACTTTGTGTGGCAGGCGTGGCACTTTGTGACAGCTACGTTCGATCCACCGTCACTTTGCGTGGCAGGCTTGGCACTTGATGATATGGATTGTTACTTTGCGTGGCAGGCGTGGCACTTATGGCACTGGGTTGGCTCTGGCGGCGCGCTTGGTCAGCCATGGCGCCGTGACGCCACGGCGTTTTGCGTGGCAGCGTGGCACTTTGTGACATCTGCCTTCACTTTGTGTGGCAGGCGTGGCACTTTGTGACATCTACGTTCGATCCACCGTCACTTTGTGTGGCAGGCGTGGCACTTGATGATATGGATTGTTACTTTGCGTGACAGGCAGGGCACTTATGGCACTGGGTTGGCTCTGGCGGCGCGCTTGGTCAGCCATGGCGCCGTGACGCCGCGGCGTTTTGCGTGGCAGGCGTGGCACTTCGAGACATCTGCCTTCACTTTGTGTGGCAGGCGTGGCACTTCGTGACATCTACCTTCGCTTTGTGTGGCAGGCGTGGCACTTGACGACATCGATTGTTACTTTGCGTGGATGTTATACACACATACACACATACACACATACATACATACATACATACATACATTCATACATACATGCATACATACATACATACATACATGCATACATGCATACACAACTTACTCATACCGGTCTATACGTGGATGTTATTGCGAAAGAGCTGGCGCTGTCTGAGGCGACTTGATGTTATTGGATTAGTGTGTTCAGTATTGTTTATCTAGCTTGCCTTCTATTTGGATGCAAATCAATCACTTGTACTTAATCTTCCACACACAACTTGCTCCGCACCAATCCTTCACCATCTCTTTTCTCTTTCCTGCTTTCCCCATGCTATCTTTACCTTTCTTTTGTTGCTTGTTGGAAGAAGTTGACATGTGGGGTTATCCGGTCCTTTATATAATTAAATTAAAGGTTGCCAATTTGGGTTTTTCAAGCGACAACAATGATGATGTTTGCCCGCAAATACAGCTATGTAGGAGGCCCCCTACTTGTGCTCATACCACAAGCGATTTTTTAACATTTGGTTGCTCCCGGCTGCTCTTTACATAGCTTTATTCTCTGGCAACACGTGGAACATATACTAGAATCTAGAAAGTATATGAAAGTATTAAGTATCTGTCGCCAAAGGGCCGTAGTGGGCCCGGCCAGTACTCGGGCCCATCTTTAGTCATGTTTGTATACCTAGGAACTCCAAAAGGACATAATTTCAGCCTGAAGAGGAAACACATTTTTTTAGGGTCTCAGACTGAATTTCGGTCTGAGGGTGCTCCCATGCTATTTTCTGATTTTCAAGCTGATTTGTTTGAATCTCAACCTGAATTTGGTAAGAAATCAGGCTCAAACCAGGAAAGAACTCAAGAACTACTTGGTCATTCCGATGCTTACCGTATCATGTTCTCGTCCAATAGAATTAGATCAAGCAATAAGCTCAATAATCCAGAACCCAAAAAGTTACCAGACTGTGGTACGCTTGACGTGTATTGGTGGTAAAAGACATATTTTGCAAGCTTTGCTCCTTTGGTTTGAAAAAAACACCACCTTGTTTGAAAAAATAACACCATCTTTTTTGAAAAAAACAGCATCCAGTGGCTCCCTGGCGAGAAACAACCATGAACAACAAGCAAAGGGAGTCTGGCTCTGGGGACACTTCCCAAGCCAGGAGGCTCAGGAGGGAGGAAAAGCAAGGGCATGGCGGCAATTTCATCTGCCCAGAAGCAGCTTGCCTTGAAAGAGGCTGAAGAAGAGGCTGCACAGGCAGAAAGGCCCTAGAAAAAGGGCAAAGCTGGACCCAGGTCTCCAAAGCCTGTCTTCTGCCAGCTGAGCTGGCAGCCAGGAAGGAAGAATTGAGAGGCAGGCTGGACTCCTTGAGAAAGGAGCTGACAACCTGAACCTGGGTGGTGGTGAAGCCACCAGTTCCTTGAAAAAGGATAGTTGCAGCTGCGTGGAAAAGGGGCAGGCAGCCAGCACCTCTTTGAAAAAGGAGGCAGAGGGAACCAGCAGCTCCTTGAAAAAGGAGAAGAAAAGATCACTAAAAAGTGATGTGCAGGTCAGTGGGAAGCTGGTTCTGGCCGCAGAGGTGCGCATATTGTCATATGTTGGCACCGACAAAATGAAGAAGAGGACCCTCAATCAAATGAGGGACCTCATTCCCCAGCCAATATTGCCTGTGCCCTGCAGTCAAAGAAGCAAAGGCATGGGGGCTTGAAACCTATGCCATGGGTCCAGGGATGGACCCCTGAAGCATCATGGCAAGGGTTTCATGGACATCACCCAGGCTGTGGACCAATGGATGGAGGACATGAATTCTCAGGCCTTGCCTACCCTTTTCTCATGAGGTGGTAAAGCTATGCCCCGATATGTCAAGTTTGGCCCTCTCACAAAGCCTTCCAGCCCTTGGCATCCAGTGGATTCTGCTGGCTTCCATTGACAAGGGATGACTTGGTGCCGCCAACAAGCTCCACCGCTAAGGATCCATGCCACAGACACTGGCAGAATTTTAAATATGGTCTCTCTATCCCAGGACGCCCCCGCCCCCATGAGAATCAACTAGGTGCC